TGAGAAGCCGATATTAAGGGCTCAAGTAGAAGGCAAATGTTTTGAGAATGATGATGGCAACAAATGTACATATGTGCTTGACACAATGGATAGATGGATGGATTTTGATAAGAATTGTATGAGCCCCCAATAAAATGATTTTTTTAAAAATTAAAACTCCATTCAATTCACAATAAAAAAGAAGTGTATAGACCTAGATTGAGGATATGTTGAGAAACAACAGCTTTACATTTTGATTTTTTGTTGTTGTTTAATGAAGGTTTCTATAATTTTGTAGTCAAAATCAATAAACTGTTTTGCAAACTGAAAAATAAAACAGTTGGATTCCTTTATACTAAAAAAAAGAGCTCTGAAAAGGAAATTAGAAAAATAATATTTAAAATAGCCAACCAAATATTTAGGAGAAAATATGACTAGGGGAAAAAAAGATGTGTACCAAGAAAACTACAAAACACTAATTGAAAAAAACAAGAGATCTACACAAAAGGATAAATATACATGTTCATGAATAGAAAGACTTAATATAGTGAAAATAATAATCCTACCCAAAACAATCTACAGGTGTACAATAATATCAATGAGGATTCCAACATCGTTCTTAAAAGAGATGGAAATTTTAATCAACTTGTATGGAAATGAGAGAGACCCTGGATAAGGGAGGCTGTGCCAGAGAAGAAAAAAGTCGGAGGTCTCCACTGTCTCATCTCACAGCCATGGCCGTAAAAAGATCCTGGTCCTGGTACAATAATAGATATATAGATGAATGGAGCAGATTGGAGAACTCAGAAGAAACTCCATCCACATACTGACAATGTATTAGAGCATATTAAATGGAGAAGAGATCTTCTCCTTAATAAGTGGTGCTGGCAAAACTGGATACTTATTTGCTAAAAAATTAAATAGAGCCCATTTCTCCTACTTAGCCTGGGTTCTTTACAGTTACAAAACCAATGACACTTATCTATGTATATTTAATGAGAAATTCATCTCAAGAAAGTAGCTCACACAGTTATAGAAGCAGGTGAGTCCAAGTCCAGGGAGGTTTCAAGTCCAAGGATCAGATATCAAGCTGGAGGCTTATCCTTACTTGTGTAGCTGTGTAGGCTGATGAACTCAAGAAGACTACTGGCTAGTGGCTACAGAGACAGATGAAGCAGGAGGTCAGGCTTATGGCTGCATTGTCAACTGAATCCAAATCAGCAGATCAGAAGGCAAGTTTCTACAGACTCCCAGGACTGGCAGGCAATATGGTAGGCCATAAACTGAAGTTCAAGTAACTGGTGGTAGATGAGCCCGATACAAGATCTATACCAGCAAAATGCTATTTTCTACAGCATCCTTATATTGGAAGGAAGTCAACCTCCAAGGAAATTTCCTTTTATCAGGACTATGATCTGAGCAAGCATGTTGCATTCTACCCTAATCTTATCCCATTATCAATAAGCTTTGATTACATGGCGTTAAGACAAGTCATGGGGGGTTAGTAGGTGTCAGCCCCAAAGCACTGAGAACCTTGGCACAGTCCAGTTGGCACAAAATTTTAGTTATTACACATGCCATGTACAAAACCAACCCAAGATGGATCCAAGACCTAAATGAAAAATCTAGAACTATAAAGTTCATCCATTAAAAAATAGGAACTAATTTAGGGGCCCTAACATATGGCATAAAGCCACTATCAAATATACTGAAAAATACACAAATAAGAGAATACAGACTAGATGTGTAGGACTTCCTAAGAAGTAGACGCTGTGTGAATCAAAAGATTTTACCAAAAGAGTAAAAAAAGAACTCATAGTAGTATGCCTTACAGAGAATCTGAAGTGTATTTGCTTTAACAAATTCATTCAGTGTTTCCAGTGGAAAGTCTATGGAATTGACTATTTTAACTTAAAATATAGAACAGGAAAATCAACGTAGAAAGTGACCAAAATGTGTTTTAAAACTTTTTGTGTTTACATGTAGACAAATGTCTATTATAAGACATGGTAAATACTGAAGACCATTTAAAAGTAATTTTTTATAATTCTACCACAAAGGTGCACCAATTAAAACAATCCTATTCTCACAATATGCTGCCTTCAGACTGAGATAAATCAACTTCCAAAAGCATGAAAGTAGGTAAGTATAAATTTTATTTTTATAATAATGAATCTGATATTCTCTAATCTCCTGTGTTCTGTCATATATCATTCATTCCATTCACTTAAATTATCTTCTTCATGAGCAGGTACTTCTGGTGGTGACTGATCAACAGAAGCGGAATCTTTGTATCTCATAGAACTCAACTCAGACTGTAACTCAGTTGTTGAGGCTTTTGTCCCCCATAAGGCTTTGACTGCTGCCCTGGAAGGGGGAAAAAACAACCAAGAAACTTCATGTAAAGCTAAAACTAAAGCCATTCAGATTTATATTTACTTTTTCTATATATAGGAGTGTCTTTTGTTCATAATATAATTTTGATTTGTTATGCATCCACTTCAATGCAATAGTTGGACCCTCAGATTATTCAGGGTGTAATATTCAAGTAATTAGTATACATATTGTGAGAAATAAATAGAATAGTAGGCTAAAGTAACCAAGTTGCCAAATTATGAAAATACAATCAGACAACAAAAGTATTCAGCCAATAATTTTTTTAAATGACTATATAAAAGTGGAAAAAAAACTCCATTGAAAAGTTCTCTCATAGTTGGGGAAGGAGGGTTTGATTGATGTTTTAAATCCACATAAGAGAGAGGGTAGTATGAATCCAGGTAATCCTAGGAGGCATGGAGGGAGTGGGACCTCAAACCCGTTTAGGAGACATACTGGACAGGACTTGACTGTTCTTGAGATGAGGGGGGAACAAAGGTGAGGAGGACCATCAACCAAGGGTGACCTAGTGGGTTGCTTGTTCACCTACCAGTTTATAATTATGAAGATCAATACAAAGATCACAAATATACAGATAATGACTCCTATGGTCAGCACAAACACCAGGACTGCATCAGTGTCTGGTCTGGGAAATCTTCTCATCTGCAATTCTAGATGAAAAACACTCAATGGTTATTACCACTGGAAAGGGAAAAGAGAAATGGTATCTTACTTAGTGGAAACCTTAACCTCGTTCTACAGTCAACTAAGAAACAAAATCAACTAAAAATATGGACAGAACCATGGGAAAGGAAGTTATTCATTTTAGAATGTGCTTCGTATGACTGAAGTGCCTTTTTCCAACAAGTAGAAAAGTTAAGGGAATTTTACAGTGAACACCTTCTCTTTCCATTCCCTAGATACCACCACTGCATTTTAGGATTCATCCCTCTATTACCCTCTATTAATCCTTTTCTTAAAAAATGATTTTCAATATAAATAGTTGACATCTGTATACTTTCTCCAAAATACTTCAGCTGATATATCATGAGTTAGAGCTCAATATTTGTTTATGGGTTTTGAATTTTTTGGGTTATGGGTTATGGGTTTTTTTGGCCATCCTTTGCAAGTAGAATTTACATGCAATTAGTTGCACTAAAATCTTAAATGTACTTTTGGTTAGTTTTGGCAAATGCACACACATCTCTGTAACCATAGAAATCCCTTTCAAGGAATAGAACATTACTATAGTCCATAAAGTTCCCTCCATCCCCTTCCCATTTAATCCATCTCCACCATCCTTCAGAGGCAACTACTCCAATTTTGTCTGAATGTAGGTTAATGCTTCTTGCTCTCGAGTGGCATGTGACTGGAAAGGTATGCTATGTGCAAGTCTGTGTAAGGCTTTCTTGGTATAATTCGAGTAGGGTTTTAGAGATTCATCCTCGCCACTGTATGCAGTATTAGCAGGGTTATCCTTTGTTACTTTGAATACTGAATAGTATTCCACAATTATTTTAGAAAATAAATTTTTCTACTGAACATCTAAGAGGCTGTAGCTTGTGGCTATTATAAAAAAAATGGTGTAAACAGTCTCCTACAGGTCATTGTGTGAACATTTATTTTTCTGTCTCTTGGATGAATAATTAGGAGTGAAATTACTGGGACATAAGTTTAAAAAGCTAAACTCACTGTGATTGAGTTGATACCAATTCAAGGTGACCCCATGTGCTACAGACCAGAACTGCTATACGGAGTGTACTTGCCTGTAATCTTTATGGAAGCAGATCACCAGGCCTTGCCTTCAAGGAGTTTGAACTGGGTGCCTTCAAACAGACAACTTTTGGGTGATAAATAAAGCACCAATTGTTTTATTCAACCAAGAATCTTATCAAGAAATTGCTAGACCTTTTCCCAAACTGGTTATGCTTGATGTACCTTGTATATGTTTCGTGAACGCCCACCCCCCACCCCAGGTTTATAATAAGCTAAAGTTTAAAATGCTGGTGAAGTCTAATTTACCAATGTTTGATTGCTTTCTGAGTCATGCCTAAGAAATCTTTTCCTCCTCCCAAATTATGAAGTTATACTATGTTTCTTTTAAAAGTTTTTATGGTCTTAGTTTTGATATTTAGGACAATGATTCATCTCAAATTAACTTTTGCATGTGGTAGAAGACAGGGATTAAAGGTCAATGTTTTTAAATGTCTACATGCACTCTCACATTTTTATGCTTTCTGCAAATAAGGATGTTAAGGAGACAGAGCCAGTCTACCATATGCTATGACATTGCTTCAGTGTAAACTGGTAAGAAACCAATTTATATCAAATGTTACTTACTTTGAGAATTATAAAGATTTCTTGTAAGCCATATTGGCCCTCCAAATTATGAGGATCATAAAAGATGTATGTGACAAAGGACCAGGGAGATCATCTGGTTCAATTAGTACATCACATAGATAAAGTAAATGAGATACAAGAAGGCTTGATGGTTTATACGAGTTAAGTCTGCAGTATTTTCATTTTGGTAAGCACCACACTATTAGCAGTAGTCTCCTTTCTGGACAAGCTCAATGACTAATTTTTCTAAACTTCTTCCCTACTCTTCAAACACCATGGCCCACCACCCATCTATCAAGTTTGCTCTGCTGTGATGGTTACAATGTTATGATGATGCTAGAAACTGTGCCACTAATATTGCACACATCGGTAGGGTCACTCATGCTGGCAAGGTTTCAGTGGAGCTCCCAGACACAGGCAGACCAAGAAGGAAGGCTTTGAAATCTTCTTCTGGAAATGAACAAATGAAAACTCTACAAATCACAATGGCATTTTTTCTGACATAATGCTAGAAAATGACCCCCCACCCCTTGGTTAAATGGCTCTCAAAATACTCAATGGCTCCAACCACAGACTGCAGCATAGCAACAATCCGTGGCTGGTGCCGGACCAGGCACTGTTTCATTCTGTTGACCATGTGGCTACCATCAGTCAGGCTGGACTCGAGGACAACTAAAAACAGCAAGCAACATCACGGAGCATCATGCTCCAATCTTTTAATAGTAATTGTAGGGCCCTGGCTCAATTTACTGATGCTGTAAAGGTAACTAGATCCAAGTATGGTGGAGAAATTAAATTTATACTTCTAGTCCAACATTGTGGGATTTTAAGCATCTTTTGAAATAACTTTAGCTTTTCAGAGTTATGGGAATTCTTATAGTTTAAGTAAAAAATAACCTTTGGGACTAAAAGCGGAGAAGGAGAAGAAGAAATTCAGTAATTATTTTTCATCTATCAACTACCTGGCAATAATAGGCAAAAGGAGGTAGAAAGTGAGGATCATGAACATTTTAGTTTATTTCAACAGTTATTTTCTTATAAAGATCAATTAAATTACTTTAGATTTAATTTGAGACAGGCTGGATTTACTTTTGTGATTTCCCCAGCAAAAAATAAGCTGAGTTTTGATATCCCACTTTTTAGAGAAATGAAATTTATACCTAATTATGAAAAGTAACTAGGTGGGAATGAAAATTCTGATATAGATAGATGGGTATTTTCATTAACAAAATCATGTATTTCCTTTTTGTCTTTATACTAATATAATCTTATCCTTAGCACTTTAATGTAATTTGTTTTTTATTGTTTTCTGTTGGGTATCCCAGCTGTGAAGCACAG